AACAGCTGCGACACAGACCCGCCGGCGCCCAGTCACGTCGCCGTCCATCTCCCTCTGCGTGTCGCCGATTGATTCCATATATTCAGGGTCCGGCCGACACGATCCCGCGGCGGAAACGAGAACCTCCGAAAAATGCACAGTTTCGGCGACGGCGATCTGAAGGGAGAAGTAGGTGATGGTATTATTTTTTTTCTATTGGGTATGCATGCAATTGATTTTGAAATTGGGATGTAATTGATTTTTGGGTTATTGTACTAAAAATTGGTTAAGGATAGGGCTAAGTTGCAATATTTGTAATTTTAATACTACAAATTAATATTGGATTGAATATTTTATAATAAGTTATTAAAATTTTAATAAATATAAAGTAAAAATAAAAGCCGGCATAGAATTGCAATAACGAAAATTTTAAAATTTATAATTGAACCGACATATAAAGATTGGACTAAAAATTTTAAACATTAACGTGTATTTTATCTATAGCTATTGTGCACGAATTTGGTCTCTATGTGCAGTATAAAACATATATTGTGCACTGATTTGGTCTTTATAGAGGACTTAAATCAAATTGATAGTATTTTTATCACAATATATTGTGCACGAATTATGATTTATTACAAACCAAACTGAAATTGAATTGAAAAAATAGATTTATTCGATCAATTAACCACATGTCCATAAATAATATAAATGATTTATTATTTATATTATAAAAGAAAACTATTTAATATTTAACTATTTATATTTAATATTTTATATTTATTTTGGTTGAACTTAAATAATATACAAGATATCAAATTTAATAATGTGCATTCACGCATTGTATTTCGTCTAAAATTACTACACATTCTACGAATCGTGGTATTCTTTTATGTGCATTAAAGTATTATATACTACTGTGCAATATGTCTAAAACTAATGTGCAATATATATAAACTAATGTGCAGTGTGTCATACATTAATGTACGTCTGTACCCACAGAACTATTGCCCAACAAATTAAACCAAGCTAAAATACATGGTTTATTCGGTTGGTTACCAAATTACATTAATTTTTATACATAATTTTTTTTTTATTTTATAAATAATTTATTTTTTGTAGAGTGCAACGTGTTGTTGGATACAATGCAACGTGATGATATATAAAGTGCATTACTGAGTGTTTAGAAGTATAAAAGAATAATAAAGTAATAATTGATCCGAAAT